AGAATTAACTATATGAACTTTCAGGTGTTCTTTTGTCTGCTGGGATCAAGCAGTTTATTCTTTGGGGCTATTTCTCTTCCTTTTAGTCCTTTACATATAGGAAATGTTACTTTAGGATGTTTAGCTGGCTCAGATGTCTTCCGTCTAGTCAGTGTTTATTTCCTATACCCTTGAAGGCTGTCTTTTGCTCCTCATCCTCTCCTTCATTGTTCCCTTTCTCATACCTGTCAGGAATGTCTCCTCAGTAATCCTAAGACTTGAATTGCTTCGCAATTTAAGAAATAAATATAATTTCATGTCAATTGAAAAGCTCTTATGTGATAACACTGTTTACACTGAGATACCCATGGGATGATCAAAGCCACAAAATGGCTGAGGTTAAGAAGAGATACTTGTTGGAGTAAACAAAAAAATTCCTAAATACTTAGCTTGGTATATTAGAAAGAAGATGGGTTTTTGCTTTAACTGTGATTATTTTTTTTTCCTTTTGATGGTACTGGATTGTACTGGATGGTACTGGATTTGCTAACTTTGATTGAGCTACACCTGAGTCCTTAACCTGAAATTTAAGTCAAACTTTAAGTTAAACTGAAATCTTTAGTTCTATGATTTTTCTCATATGAAATAGGATAATATAGGGTTAAAGTTTTAAATAGAATGGTTTTAAATAATAAGTATCTTAATTTCTTAGTTCATTGATACCTAGTAAGAACAAGAGAAAATGATCTACACTTTTTTAGAAGTTCTTCAGTGGATCATAATAATTAGTAGTACTATCTGAAATACTGTCCTGGGAACACTTATTTATTATGACTGTTGTTTTGAAAATTCTGTGAAGAGTCTGTTTTTTATATGTTAGTATTCAAAAGAAGAGAAAGTACTTGAGTCACCCTTTTCTCATTTGGCTTTTGGTAATTTCATGAAAAACAAACAAGACATATGTACCTCACCAATATGTCCCAGCTGTGTATAGATGATTTCTAGATTGTTTGGGATTCAAATTGTTTCTATTGTCTAAAAATGAAAAGTGACATATTTTCTGGAACTGTTTCCAGTAGTCCAGCAATTTATTGACAATTGTTCTATAAACAACAATACATTTAGTTTGCCAAATATGATATAGACATTGGGGTTTCAGTGCCAAATTTTAAAAGAACTTTTTATGGTAAAATGGTTAGATATAGGAAATGGAGAGCCATTAAAAGTTTTTCGAAAATAATTTTGGTTATGGTAGGGCAAATGGTCAATTAAGTGGTTGTAAAAACTTCAGCCAAGAGCTTATTGATAGATGACACGATTGAAATGAAGGCAGCAGCCTTATGAATTAACAGGGAGAAAAGGAGTGAAAAGAACATTTTGAAATAGATTTGATGTGTGAAAAAGAAGTCAAGGATGACTCTAAAGGGGGAAGCTATGTTGATTTCTTGAGAATTTAGATTGAAATAATGAATAAAGGAAATAGTGTTTGTAGTGTGTATAAATCCTGATATTCTCAGGGATTTGATCCTGATATTTTGGGGGGAAAGGTTTTTTTTGTTTTTGTTTTTGGTCTACTGGCTCCTTTAACTTAGCAATCAGAAAAAAGAGAGAGGCTGGGAAGGTGGCTCAGTGGTAGAGCGCTTGCCTTGCATGTGTGAGGCCCTGGGTTTGATTCCCCAGCACCACATAAGCAAAAAAAAAAAAAGCCAGAAGTGGCGCTGTGGCTCAAGTGGTAGAGCGCTAGCCTTGAGCTGAAGAGCTGAGGGATAGTGCCCAGGCCCAGAGTTCAGGCCCCACGACCGGACCCCCTAAAAAAAAGAAAAAAGAAAATAGAGTCCTAAAGAACACTTAAGATTTAATGGATAAAGCGTAGAGTAGCCGGGCGCTGGTGGCTCATGCCTGTAATCCTAGCTACTCAGGAGGCTGAGATCTTAGGATCACGGTTAGAGCCAGCCTGGTCAGGAAAGTCTGTGAGAATCTTAGCTCAAATAAACCACCAGAAAACTGGAAGTGGCACTGTGGCTCAAGTGATAGATAGAGCACTTGCCGTGAGCCGAAGAGCTGAAGGACAGCAGCCAGGCCCAGAGTTCAAGCCCCATGACCAACCCCCCCCAAAAAAAAGAGAGAGTAGGGTAGCATATAATAATTTTGAGACAGATAGGAAAGAGGTGGAGGATAACATGCTTTATTGAACCATGTAAGAGTCTTTTTATCTCTTATTAAATTTTTTCTGAGGAATATGGTCTGACTTACTTTAGCATCTTGTAAATTGTAGGTCATATTGTAATAGCTGATTATTAAGTGCTTGAATGAGTGAATTAAATAAAACAAATAGGTCACAGAGAGTTGTTAAAACTGAAGAGATCATTAGACATTACAAAACATAATGTATGTCAGTTGTCTTTTTTATTTATAGTGATAAATTTTAAATAGATTCATGTATAGAAAATGTCATTTTTTTTCCAAATATTGCTATCAGAATTCTACTTTTTTTTTGCCAGCATGTTTATCTTCCTAGGACTATTAAATGTAAGGGGTGAGGAAAAATCTTTCACATGATAATACACAAATTTTATTGACAAATGAAGTGTAAATGTTTTTGATAACTTTCAACTGCGTATTTCTCACTTTGAATCAATTAGGAAAATAGACTGATATTTTCCTGCTGCTAGATGTGTACCAGCCACTGTAACGGTGGTAGGAGATTGTATCTCAATTTGCCTTATTCATTCCTTTGTGGTTAATATTTTTGGCCACTGTCTGCCATGGTTTAGGATTTATATATATATATATATATATATATATATATATATATATATATATACATATATATATATAAATATACATATTATTATTATTATTTCTTTTTGCCAGTCCTGGGCTTGAACTCAGGGCCTGGGCACTGTCCCTTACCTTCTTTTGCTCAAGCCTAGTGCTCTACCACTTGAACCACAACACCACTTTTGGCTTTTTCTGTTTATGTGGTACTGAGGAATTGAACCCAGGGCTTCATGCTATGCAAGCACTCTACCGCTAAGCCACCTTCCCAGCCTTGATATTTGTTTATTTTTGATGGTAGCTTTTTTTTTTTTTGTGGGCAGGGATAGTGAGGGTTGAACTCGTGCTTCACACTTAGGCAAGCATGCTTAACACTTTAGCCACACTCCTAGTTCTTTTGGCTTTAGTTATTTTTCAAATAGGGTCTTTGTATCTTTTACCAAGGCTGACCTCAGACCACAGTCCTTCTTTGTATGTTTTCTTTCTCTCAGTAGCTGGGAATACAGATATGATCCATTACCCCTGGCTCAGGTCTTAGATTTTTTTGAGATAGGGTCTCCCTAGTAGCTCAGGCTGGCCTTTGAACTCTTGATTCCCTAAGTTATACCAAGCTGGATTCAAAAAGTTAATGAGTTTATCTTTGGTATTTGTTGTGATACTGAGTTTTATAGAAGATATCATATAAAACTCAAGAAGATAGAGTATTTTTCCTATTCTGGAATTTCTCTTTGACTTTTATGTACAACTTTACCTTATTTCCCTCCATCAAATCTAGTGTAGAAAGATACAGAGAAAGGGGGCTGGGAAGGTGGCTCAGTGGTAGAGCGCTTGCCTTGCATGCATGAGGCTATGGGTTCGATTCCTCAGCACCACATAAGCAGAAAAACAAATAAAAAAAAAAAAAGAAACAGAGAAAGAACACTGGAGCTGATGGCAGGAAATCTGTTTTCCTACTCAACTTTATAAAAGTTGTAAAACAATTTGAGCATTTGTTCAATTTTCAATTTTTGCTTTTGTTTCTTACCTCTAAAAGTCCAATGTGAGCTACTTTCAAATGAATACTTTAGTCCGCACATTTTTCCAATTGGAGACTTTTGTGTTATAAATTGTCATTGCTTTTCTTTTCTTTTCTTTTTTTTTGTAATTCCTCTATTGACCAGTATTGTAAAGTTCGGCTAAGTAAAATTGTGAGGATGTTTTCTGTTCTGTATGTGGAAATTGTGATGCTTAACTTGCAAAGTGGTTGAGAAGAATAAATGGGAGAGTGACTATACTTGTAAAATGCTTTTTTTTTTTTTTTTTGGCTGTCTCATAAAGCTACTGGAGTTTCTTATGATTGTATACTACTATAGGAGATTTACCAAGCACAAACCTCATATGTGAAAAGAAGTATATGAATAATTGATAGAAACATTTTGTGATAATTACACTATAAAGAAACATCAGGATGTTTATATATAATTATTTTTGAGCAGAAATTTACTTTATACTCAGCTTCTTCAATTTGAATAAAGAAACTGTAAGGGTTGCCGAAAGGAAACTTCCATGTGGCTCAAGGGAAGAGGGTTTATTGAGAGTGAGAGAGAGTAAAGCTTCAGCTACACAAATGGAGTCTGGTGGAGCAAGAGAGATTATGGTGGGAGGAGAGAGATTATATAAGGGAGAGCAGGAGAGGGAGTATGGCCACACCAGAAGCAGAGGAGACCTCAGAGTCTGGGGACTTCCCACTCCACCCAGGCATGCCAGTGCTGGGCGGGGACTAGGGTGCAAGGGGAGAGAGAGAACCAAGGGAAGGCGACATTTCTCCTGAGCAGACCTAACAGAGATAATGTTGTTATTTGGTTTTACTAAATGCTTTGTTAAGTATCTTAATTTTTAAGAAATGTGCACCAAATAATGTTTTATATTAAAGTATCATTGAATGGAATTGTTTTTGCCTTTTTTGTATTATATTGATGTTGGGAAGCCCAGGATACCTATACATGGGTGAAGTATACTTACTAAATACAAATGGAATGTTATTAAACTTGACATAGCAAATTTAATGGATGAGTCAAGTGAAAAGTACCAAAACTGAGTGTGGGGGGATTTGTTTTAATCTGGTTTGCAGATTTTATATGTTCATATTTATGATCTCTTCATTACTTAAAAATATGTCACAATAATATCAAGTATTTAAACTTCTGTGGCTGTATCATTCTGCATGGAATAGATTTAAAGGTCAACACTACTCTTTTATGTAGGTTATGGGTGCTACATGTGTGCTTTCAGAGCAGTAGTGTGAGGAAACTTGAAGTGGGATGGCAGGACGGCCTCATCCCTATGACAGTAACTCCAGTGACCCAGAGAATTGGGATCGGAAATTGCATAGTAGACCTCGTAAACTTTATAAGCATTCAAGGTAGGTAGAAAATATATATTACATATCAAAGTTCTGCTAAACCTGATTGTAAAGACTACTATTGTAGTTAACTGTGGCAAGTTCTATCAGTGGATAGGGGCTAGTTTACAAAATATTATGCTTTTGGGCTGGGAATGTGGCTTAGTGGTAGAATGCTTGCCTAGCATGCATGAAGTCCTGGGTTCGATTCCTTAGTACCACATAAATAGAAAAAGCTAGAGTGGTGTTGTAGTTTAAGTGGTAGAGTGCTAGCCTTGAGTAAAAGGTACAGTGCCTAGGCCCTGAGTTCAAGCCCCAGAACTGGCCATAAAAACCCCAAGAAACAAACTTATTATGCATGTTTGTATTTCTCCTTAGATAGTTTTTAGTGAAATATACATTTTAATTTTTAAAAACTTATGTTTGTTTAAATATTTCTACTTCTAAATTAAGTCTAGATCTTAGTTTACTCTATGGTTGTGTTAAAAATTGAGTCAATAGGAACTAGCAAGACATTACTTCTCTATGTTTGAAAATCTCTAATAAGAATTTATTTGTACCCTAAATAATGGGTGCAGATTATACCTGATAATTTGTTTCTGTCTGTGTTTGCTGCTATATATTTTTAAAAAAATTTATTTGTATTTAAAATTACCTTTAAGAAGTTGTATGAAGGGAGGTGCCATATAATAAAGCAGTTTATGAATACAGTGCATCTTGATCACTGTTACCCCTTCAACATTCTCAGCCCCCTTCAACCCATTCTTTCCCTTACTTTTCTTAGTTTTTTTAACTATGTGAAATATTGGTATTGTCACTCTGATCCTAAGGGGAAGATGTATCTTTCTGGATTAACTGCTAGTTAAAGTTTGATGTGTGAAATGAGATTTACTTTAAAAGTATACGTTCATCTATTATTTTTTAACTTTTATTTTGTGTTATATGACTAAAAGAGGAATACCTCATTTATAATATTTTGTGATGATATTTTTAATGTGTTAGTTGACAGCTTATAAATGTCATATATTTCAGGTATGTGAGCATGTTTTATAGTGGATTTTGTATATGAATATTATGGATATTAATGAACATTTAACTTACTTGAATAGAAAAATGTCTCCCAGTCACTGTTAACAAACACCAGAATTCTTGAAAAACATTTCCATGATACTGAAATCCTTTTTGTAATTTCAAGGAAATAGTTTAATACAGAAGATGTTCACCTATATTGTTCAGTTTTAATATGATGACGTCTTAAAAATGTTAATGTGAAGTGAAGTTAATTTGAGTATATGCCACATGGTATGAATATGTTGTGTGTGTGTGTGTGTGTGTGTGTGTGTGTGTTGTGTGTGTGTGTATGTGTAGTGTGTATGTATGTATGTTTATATAATAGAAAAAGAAAGAGGAGAGGTCTAATGGGGCTCTAGTTTTTTCTTTCTGTGTTCAGTAGATAATTATCTTGTCCTTTAGAATAAAGGTATTTTGATTTATTGTATGAAATGGGACTATATTTGAGTCTAATATGCTGTGTATATATATCATATACATATGTATTCAGGTGATATATATGTTACACTGGCTAATTCTTGAGATTTTTCTGCTGGTGTGCAGTACTGCATTACATAATGAAGAGATGACAGAAATGTCAAAGTTGACTTTATAAAAGCTTTGTGTATGCAGTGAGAAAAATTTATAAAAACTTACAATGCTTTTTCCTTGCTGCTGTTTCATTTCAGTAACAAATATAGCTCTTCTTGATAACTGTATGGTAATAACTTTTATTTTTGTGGTGCTATGGTTCCAGCCCAAGTCCCTGAATATGTTAGGTACATATCAGTCAGTTACACCCCATATCCCAGACCCTTCATTGGTAACCTTTTGATGTTTTTGGGTGTGCAGTATCAGTATTTGGAGTTTTGAGTGAAAACAAAAATAAATATTAATAAATTGATTAAAAATTTTTGTAATTGGAAGACCATGAAGTCCTTTGAATTTGTAATTGGAAGACCATGAAGTCCTTTGAATGACTTTATCTTAAGCCCTTGTGGAAATCCTGTGCCAGCAAGAACAGCTTACTTTTAGAGACTTCTTATCCCTATATATTTAGGAACATATAACTTTAGAATTTTTAAGGCGCTGTTTGGCTTTTTAAAGATAGCATTTTAGGAGCTGATGGAAAACTAATGCAGAGAGAAGTTTTAAAGCCCATCAATTTGGGCTGGGAAGGTGGCTCAGTGGTAGAGCCCTTGTCTTGCATGCATGAGGCCCTGGGTTCGATTCCCCAGCACCACGTAAGCAAAAAGAAAAAAAAAAGCTGGAGATGGCGCTTTGGCTCAAGTGGTAGAGCACTAGCTTTGAGCTGAAGAGCTGAGGGACAGCGCCCAGGCCCAGAGTTCAGGCCCCATGACTTGACCCCCCCATAAAAACAACAAAAAAAAACCCCGTCAATTTGTATATCTAGAAACTGACCTCAGTTCAGAGAAATTTGAAAGTGTCAAGCTACTGTTATAGAATGTTTTATAATTCACAAATGAAGCAAATAGAGAACTATAGAATATTTGACCTGTGATACTGAATTGTAAAATAAAATTCAGAAAAGGAATCCATATCAAGTGAGAAGGTGAAAATAAGACTTAAACTAATCCTAGGTGATTAGAGAATTAGCGTGGATGGAAGGACATCTCTGTCAAGGACATTTAGGAGATTACCTTGACTCAATCTCTGGACAGTATGTGCTATAGATTTAACAAATGGAAAAAGCAGAGCTGGAGTTTATAACAAGTTTTTCATTCTTTTTTCAAATTTTAAGCAGTTTATATTATAGAGAGACCAAGTACAATGAATGCCTATTGCTCATCACATAGCTTCAAGTTAGCAACTGATGGCTAATTGCATTTTGGGCTACTCATCACATGTTTTTAATCTCATATATTTATTCTTATTAGGGAAAAATCTGTTTTCCAAAGGGATTTCATTGAGATATTTACAACTTGAATATAGTATACTTTGATCAAATTACCTAATATATGTTATTCTTTATTAGCCACCCATTCTCTTCATCCTTCCTCAAACCTAACATTTTACTTGGGGATACTTGAGTAAAAGAAGACCAGACTGGCTGGTGCCGGTGGCTCACATCTATAATCTTAGCTACTAAGGAGGCTGAGATCTGAGGATTGGGGTTCAACGCCAACCGGGCAGGATTAACCCACCAATTAATCCACCAGAAAACCAGAAGTGGTGTTGTGGCTCAGTTGGTAGAATGCTTGCCTTGAGCTGAAGAGCTTAGGCATAGTGCCCAGGACCAGAGTTCAAGCCCCATGACTGACAAAAAAATAAAATCAGACTGGCTTAAGGTAGAGATTGATTTTTCTTTTCTCTCTCCTCCCCCAACCCCATTCTTTCCTTTTTTTTTTTTTTTTTTTGTGCCAGTCCTGGGCCCTGGGTTCTGTTCCTTTAGCTTTTTTGCTCAAGGCTGACACTTTACTACTTGAGCTACAGTTCTAGATTTCTGCTGGTTAACTGGAGATGAGAGTCTTATAAGTTTTTCTGCCTGGCCTGGAGTTGAACCATGATCCTCAGATCTCAGCCTCCTCAGTAGCTAAGATTACAAGTGTGAGCCACCACCACCTAGTTTGATTTATTCTTTTTACACTAGACATTCAGAGGTAGCTGATGGTTGATATATCTTTTATTGCTTAAGAATATAAGGGTCAACAGTTTCTGATTTGCTTGACTGTTCTATTGTTATCACAAAGAGATGTGTAATTCCAGCCATCCAGGACAGTAGAAAAGTCATCAGAAAATTAAATTTTTCTTGGTCTTGGAATGTGGCTTAGTGGTAGAGTGCTTGCCCTAGGTTTGATTCCTCAGTACCACATACACAGAAAAAGCTAGAAGTGGCACTGTGGCTCAAGTGGTAGAGTGCTAGCCTTGAGCAAAAGAAGCTAAGGGACAGTGCCCAGGCCCTGAGTTCAAGCCCCAAGACTGGCAAAAAAAAAATTAAATTTCTCAGACATTACTTATCTGAGAAGTTTATAAGTTGCATCTGATAGCTGCTTATACATCATTAGCTAGAACTATGTTATATAGATCAAGGATACTAAGAAATGTAGTTTATTATAAACTGGGTTTACTGTTACCTCATAATTTTAAATTTATTTTAAAATAATCAGAAGACTATTGGTCAGTTTCTGTAGATAATCTAAAAATGGTTTTGTTTTTTGCTGGTACTGGGGCTTGAGCTCTGGGTCTGAACTCTCCCTCTACTTTTTGCTGGTATTCTACTACTTGAGTTACACCTCCAATTAAACTTAACCTTTAAAAAAAAATGTGTTTTGCTTCATGTATGTTTTTGAATTGCTCTGTTTTTCCACTTTTTTCTCACCTTTTTTTGCTGGCTATGATTAAAATACACTTTGTGTGTGTGTGGTGGTGGGGTGGGTTTCTGGGACTTGAACTTGGCCTGGGTGCTCAAGGCTAGTGCTCTGTCACTTGATCCAAGTGTCACTTTTGGCTTTTAGTTGATTAGAAATAAGAGTCTCATGGATTTTAACTGCCCGGGCTGGCTTCAAACTGCAATCCTTACATCTCAGCCTCCTGAGTAGCTAGGAATATAGGCATGAGCCACTGTTGCCCAGCCCAGCTCCTTTTTGGTTTATGAAGGAAATACTAGTTGCTGTCATACATGTACTTTTCTATCAGAGTTTGGGAGTTTGGCAGGTCTGGCTTACGATTTGTTTATGATATAGTACAATTTTAAGGTGGTTTCTAAGTTTTCTTTCTTTCTTTTTTTTTGGGGGGGGTCCTGTCGTGGGGCCTGAACTCTGGGCCTGGGTGCTGTCCCTCAGCTCTTCAGCTCAAGGCTAGCACTCTTACCACTTGAGCCACAGCACCACTTCTGGCTTTTTTTTTCTTTTTGCTTATGTGGTGCTGAGGAATCGAACTCAGGGCTCATGCATGCAAGGCAAGCGCTCTACCACTGAGCCACCTTCCCAGCCCTCTTAAGTTTTCTTTTG